TATCTGGGAAAAATCAAATCATCAGATGGAAAAATGTCGCAAAGATAGGTTAAGCTAAAATTGCATTTCAGAAAATGAAAAAAAAAATTTCAAGCACTAAATCGCTCATTTAATGTCAGAAATAGAGTGCAAAAATGTTACATAGAACCTGTTCTGCTGTATGGTAACGAGTCTTGGAATGTCACTGAACCATTTAAGAACAATTTGGAAGCAAGACAGATGCGGTTTCTGAGACGAATGTTACGAATACCTTGGATGGCTAGAGTAACTAACAATGATTGCTTGAAAGAGGCTAATGAAAGTAGATCTCTATATAGAACAACAAGAAACATGCAAACACTGTTCTTTGGTCGCATAATGAGAAGAGAGACACTGGAGAAAATTGAAACAACTGGAAAGATCAGTGGGAAAAGGGGTAGAGGCAGGCTAAGAGAGATGATGCTGGATGGGCTGGAACAATGGCATGGAGGGATATCATCCCGACCTGGTATGTCAGCAGCATGGCCTGTCAGCTGGAGCCGGCCGTGGTTGCGTGATATACCTAACCTGGCATTATGATAACAGCTTCGGCTGCAGGAGGGCATTGGGGAAGGAGACTAGCAATACATATGCTGGGACGAGGAAATGCAACCTGAGATCAATGTTATGGGAGAGAAGACCATGCTCATAACTTTGGTTGGCAACTGGTCTCTATTTCTTCTTTGCGTTCTGTTTGGTTTCGTATAATCAGACCAGACCATCAGGTGGGTTGCCTCTAAAAACTCGCATGTGAATAGCAGGTCCTTTATAGTTTCCCATAGCTTGCTCTGCACACTTCGCTCTTGAAGTCAGGTGTCTTTTCGAATTTGTATGTAGAGTGAGCAGGTTTCACAGAATGTGCTCCGGCGTTTGTGATCCTGTTTGAAAGGCACTGTGGGGACTACAATCTTTATTTTTATGTGGTAGTTGAGCCTGCAGTGACGTATACGGAAAATTATTGTATGTTGCTTTCTGTTGAGTTTGCTGATGGGGTCTTGTGGATGTTTACGGTTAGTCTGTTCTCTTCACAATTACTTGCATCTTCCCTTGATAAGTGTTCTGATTTTCGGTAATGGCAATGGATGAGTGCGTTGTTTCTCCTTTTTTGCAAGTCTGTCTGCTAACTGATTTCCAGGTATGCCGCAGTGAACCGGGATCCACTGGAGAACGATTTGATTGTTTTCTGCAAGGCAACTGGTCTTGGAGGGAATCTTCGACAGGCGTTCAGAGAGAGCACTGCTTATTTGATCCGGCAGCATACTTTTTCCTAACCTTATTGGTGTTACATTTCTGTTTGAAGTAAACAAGACAGGTCAAGAGAGCGATTGTGAGACATAGCAACACATGGTCTCTAGAATACTAACAAAAGCTTTAATGGAGAGGAGGGACTCTTTTCCTGCAGCACAAATTTTTTTTTCTAAACTTGACTATCCTCCGACTAACGGTCGGCAAAGATATCCAGTTGAGCCACAGTCACGTGTCAGTTGCGCGCTTCCGGCTACTTAATGTGCGCTTTTCCGGCGACTATGGCTACTGCCACGTGGATTGGGGTTAAACTAGATGGCTAGGACTCACGAGCAAGGCTGCAGGAGATGCGGAAGCTGCTGCTCGTAAGTCCTAGCCATCTAGTTTAGCCCAATCCACGCAGCGTGGGAGCCACATGGCAGTAGCGGTTGTTGGCGGAAAATTAAGTAGCCGGAAGCGCGCAACCGACACGTGACTGTGGCTCGACTGGATATTTTGCGGCTGCCATCTTTGCCGACCGTTAGTCGGAGGATAGCCCTAAACTTGTTAGTGTTATATTTTCTTTGGAATAAACAAGACAGCGATCATGATGCATAGCAACACATGATCTCTAGAATACGGACAAAAACAATGTTTTACGAAGGGGAGAGTCACCTTTGTTTTTGTTCCGGGAAACGCAGGCGTCGATGGAAATAAAAGAGCTGACAGGTTGGCTGGATCCACTATCACTACCGACGGTCAGCCTATGGATCATGCTGATATTATTAATGCCCTCAGAGAAATGGGAAGGATAGAGGACTTTGGTGGCAGTGAATCCACATCACTCGCCAGAATGGCAGACTTGGGAATTAAGATCGGCACAGCAAAAAACGAGACGCACACTAGACACGCCAGAAGACTTGTTAATCAACATAGAACTGGTACTATTAGCCATCGGACGTTGGGGTTCATACTGAGGGGAGGATCTGAGCACCTATGGACATGTCCAGAGTGCAATGAGGATAACCCAACTAACTAAGGGGAGATACTTTATCCCTGGTTAAAGTCGAGAGGATAAATTTCATTACACCAGGTTTTATCCCATATGACTCGGTCTCTCTCTGCACAACGGATAGCCGCCTGTCGAAAGCGCAGCACAAACTCCGTAGTTCCGGTGACTATCCCCAGGGATCTCCGTAATGAACTGAAGGGGACAGCTGTGGAACGAACCCACGACCTTCAGAGCACGAGGCAAATGACTTGACCACTTCGCTATGGAGAGTTCACGTGCCTCTCTTTAACAAGATATAACACAAATGTCTAGAAGGATGGTCGGCGTCTGTGGCTCAGGCGTTGTGAAAGTGCTTCGTAGTGCCGGGTTCGATCCCAGCTGCGGGCCTTGCGCATTGCGTGTTTCGTCAGTGGTATCGAGAAGCCGGCCGTCCAGAAAGCAATGGCACACTACTGGATGAGAATTTGCCTTTAAAAAAACAACAGCTAATAAATGCTGGGGTTGGTTCTGCAACGTCATGTAAAGGGTATGCAACTAACTCAACTAGAAGGACGAAAAAGTGTTAATGAAAGTTTGAGATCCAAATTCTTTTTCTACTTCTCTACCTTCTCCACTGATGTTTGAAGTAGATAGGAGTTAAAGAGCAACAAATGAAATGGCTTGGTTATCTAATGACAGTGCTATGATACTTATCACAGACATCAGAAGGAGACAGTCATCATTTTTCGGCCATGTTATGAGAACAGGGAAAATAGAACATGTTGTGACTATTGGAAAGATCTGTGGAAGGAGGGATAGAGGTGGACAACAAGAGATTTTTGACAGTCTTTTTGCATGGCATGGAGGTGTGTCGGCACACGAACTGATACATGCTGCAGGAGATCGCAGAATGTGGAGAGGCATATCGCCTACGCCTGTCGGCAAGACACCTAATGATGATGATGATGATGATGATGATACTGACTGTCACAAAGAGTCATGATGAAAAGCTATGATAAACGCACAGCAAGGCGAAGACAGATGGAATCAACCGGCCCTAAAGAAATGAAGACCAACAAACAACGCGTCACAAAAAGCAGGATAAATTTTAAGGATACAAAGTCAGCAGAATTTTCTACAGATTCAAAGCACGAAATATAGCATAAATAAAATATCCAGCCTCCCCTCTCTGTGATTCTTTTCCCCTCCAACCTTCCTGCAGTCATGGTGACCTTCAGCGTTCTCATTCTCATCACATGACCAAAGAGGGCAGAATTGTCTCCGTTTTATGTGGGCAATCAGTTCTCTTAGTGAATTAGACACTTTCAATACATTCTCGTTAATGTTTTTATATGCCCACGGTGTTCTCATCATTCCTCTATCAGTCTGTTCACTTATACATTACTCTTAAGACCACCCTTTCAGAATAGTTTAAGAAAATGAGATATGAAGGAGAAAATGACTCCTTACACCCCAAAAATGGTCTGAAACAAACATGTTGCAACTTGAACCATTGTCTCTCAAGGTGTTACATGTAATCAAATATTCATCACAATTGAGTCTAAAAAAGATCTAAGCAAGGGTGCAAAAGACAGGGGAAAGACAAGATAGAAAATTTTAAGAAAAACAAAAAGGATATGCCAGCTTTACAAAACCACTTACAATAAACAAACATCAACTAACTGTGTTCTGTTTTGTTTCATGTCATTATTCTGCTGATCAAGGCTATATTTGATTGGTCCATTTGGTGGCCTATCTTTATCCATTAATTTCCTTGTTGTGCTGTAAAGGGCTCTGTGATTTCCGTCTGCTGCTGTCTCTGCCTTTTGTGCTTGATCATCTACATATTTTCTTTCATCTGCCCTTATTGGACTCCTAACTTTTTTATTAACTTCTGCCTAATTTTGTTATGAGCTCTGTTTTTTGCATCTGTGATGTTGTTTAAGTCTGCCTTTTTGCTTTTCATTTCTTTAGTTTTTGTCAGTTTTAGGCATTTTCCTACCTTATTTGTATGTTATCTTTTATCAAGGACTTCTACACAAGATTAATTCCAAAGTCATTTGTTTTGTTCCCGGCAAACTTTAATGCTTACCTCAGAGGACTATTGCAGCAACCGGTACTTATTTGAGACTGTTCTTTAATTTCTTTATCCCTGAGGTATGCCCTATACTATACTGGTTTCTATGACTGTAAGATGTTATAAATCTCCTAAGTTTCAACTTGATTTTACTTATTCACAGACAGGTTAGTTGCGTATCCTTTACAGGACGTTGCAGAACCAACCCCAACAGCCCCTGGCTGTTGTGTGGTTTTTCTAGGCAAATTACGTCCAGTAGTTTGCCATTGCCTCTGGACGGTCGGCTTTCTTTATACCACTCTCGAAAGCAACGCAAGGCGCATGGTCTGCAGCTGGGATCGAGCCCGGCATTATTCACAGATAGTGGTCAGTAAATACATAACAAAATTTTCTGGGAAAGAATGTGTTACATAATTTCTGCCAGGTGCTACAAGAGTTAAAATGCAACATAAAAATATCTTCAAAATGGATATGGTATTTTATGTACAAATCTTAACCTCATTTATTATCATGTAGTTTTTTTTAATGCAATTCTTCTTCAATGTCAGTCAGATTGTTGGGCCAGTTTATGTATCTGCTTGTTCAAACTGATGGGCCAGTTTATGTATCTGCTTGTTCAAACTGATGGGCCAGTTTATGTATCTGCTTGTTCAAACTGATGGGCCAGTTTATGTATCTGCTTGTTCAAACTGATGGGCCAGTTTATGTATCTGCTTGTTCTCATATATCTCCACAGGCGAAGGATTGGACAGATTCACTGCATTGTTGACCATAGCTCTTGCAACAGTCTCAACAGGAACTGACATCACAGTTGGAAAGAAGTAAATCATTGGTGTCAGGACTACTTTCACAATGGCTTCAGCTATTCTTCTTTCATTGCGTTTGCAGACAAGGAACCTGGTAGAAATAGAGGGGGAGGGTGGGGGGGGGGGGGGACTTCAGTGGCATAGTTGTAAAAGATCCTTGCCTCTGCATAATAATTATGAGCCTGCTTTCAAGTCCATACCCACAAAGGACTACCTGCAACACCTGGCTTGTGTAACCGTTACAGGGGCTCTAATTATAACTACTTTGGAGGCTTAACGGTGTATTTGGGATCTACTTTGTTGGTCTGCTGTCCATATTCAGATTTCTTTTTAAAATCTCAGAGTTGTAAACCTTGATACAGCAGCTCAGAGGGGACAAACTGATTGAACAATCAAAGCCTGCCTAAGATCATAGCCTTACTCCCACTGGACTGGTGTACCTAAAATATGTACCCTATTTATCACTTTTTATGAGGTTGAACAGGGTATCAGAGATTTTGTCCTGATGACTTGCCATCCAGACAATCGTATTTTATCATCTCAGAAGGGTCAAGCCTTGAGTAAGCAACCCAGAGGGGGGGGGGGGATGGGGTGTAAGATAGCCTTGCTTCAAAAAATGTGCGGATATTGTTAATTTTTAGAGGTAATAACACATTGTTTTTTAACCTGGAGGATATTCTCTCTAGCTGGGATGCAGGAAAGTGTCGACTGGTCTATAATAGTGGTTTGCAATCTTTTCCAGGTGGCGTCCCCTTCAATATATGTCAAAACCTCGCCCACCCCCTTTTAAACTTAAAAGCAAACTTGTGATTAAACTGAGGAAGGCAAAAAGATACAGTAATGGGAGGTGTACAAACTGCTCCTGAAAACAAAAATGTCCTTGGCTTTGTGTTTAATAAATCTTCTTCTTCAGCATTCCGAGCCCTTGAGGTTCATTGCTGCAGATATCACCCGCCTCCGTTCATCTCTCTGGTTGGCCTTCTTCAGCATTCCGAGCCCTTGAGGTTTATTGCTGCAGATATCACCCGCCTTCATTCATCCCTCTGGTTGGCCTTCTTCAGTATTCCGAGCCCTTGAGGTTCATTGCTGCAGATATCACCCGCCTCCATTCATCTCTCTGGTTGCCTTCTTCAGCATTCCGAGCCCTTGAGGTTCATTGCTGCAGACATCACCCGCCTCCATTCATCCCTCTGGTTGGCCTTCTTCAGTATTCTGAGCCCTTGAGGTTCATTGCTGCAGACATCACCCACCTCCATTCATCTCTCTGGTTGGCTTTCTTCGGCATTCTGAGCCCTTGAGGTTCATTGCTGCAGATATCACCCGTCTCTGTTCATCTCTCTGGTTGGCCTTCTTCAGCATTCTGAGCCCTTGAGGTTCATTGCTGCAGATATCACCCGTCTCTGTTCATCTCTCTGGTTGGCCTTCTTCAGCATTCCGAGCCCTTGAGGTTCATTGCTGCAGATATCGCCCGCCTTCATTCATCTCTCTGCTTGGCCTTCTTCAGCATTCTGAGCCCTTGAGGTTTATTGCTGCAGATATCACCCGCCTTCATTCATCCCTCTGGCTGGCCTTCTTCAGCATACCGAGCCCTTGAGGTTCATTGCTGCAGATATCACCTGCCTCCATTCATCTCTCTGGTTGGTCTTCTTCAGTATTCTGAGCCCTTGAGGTTCATTGCTGCAGATATCACCTGCCTCCATTCATTTCTCTGGTTGGCCTTCTTCAGTATTCTGAGCCATTGAGATTCATTGCTGCAGATATCACCCGTCTCCATTCATCTCTCTGGTTCGCCTTCTTAAGCATTCTGAGCCCTTGAGGTTCATTGCTGCAGATATCACCCGCCTCCATTCATCTCTCTGGTTGGCCTTCTTCAGCATTCTGAGCCCTTGAGGTTCATTGCTGCAGACATCACCCACCACCATTCATCTCTCTGGTTGGCTTTCTTCTGCATTCTGAGCCCTTGAGGTTCATTGCTGCAGATATCACCCGTCTCCGTTCATCTCTCTGGTTGGCATTCTTCAGCATTCCGAGCCCTTGAGGTTCATTGCCGCAGACATCACCCGCCTCCCTTCACATCTCTGGTTGGCTTTCTTCAGCATTTCGAGCCTTTGAGGTTCATTGCTGCTGAAATAACCCACCTCCATTTATCTCTCTGGTTGACCTTCTCTTTCCAGTTGGTGACACTAAATGTTTGCATGTCTGTCTGGACGTTATCTCTCCATCGTCTTCTTAGTCTGTCTCGTGGTCTACAACCATTCATCTCCCTTGTGTATACAGTTTTTACTTCTCTGTGTTTCATAAATAGTTTAGAAAAATACTTTTGTTATAATTAAACTTTTACCCAAAAAAATTGCATAACATACACGTAGAGGTGGACTCAATTACAGAACTGCTTGATGCCTAGCTTGAAAGTTCCTTGTTCTCACCTGCGGGCCATTCCCCCCACCCCCAGCCCCACCCAACCACCCATGCAGAAAACTACTGGTCTACATAGTTATGGTTCTAGCATCATATATATGTCTAACTTGTCAATGGCATAAACAGGGTCCTTCACCTTACTTTACTTTAACTGATCTTTCTGTGAGGAGCGGCTGGCCAAACAGTTAGAGCACTGGGCTTTCTTTCAGGAGACCTGTGTTCAAGTCCTCAGTAAGGCTGGAAGTGTTTTTTTTGGTCGGGGGGGGGGGGGGGGGGGGAATAAAATCCCCACCTGCACAGTGGTGGCGACAGCACTAGCCAGGCAGCCGTAAATCCTCAGGTTAAAAAAAACCTCCTGCCTACAAATCAAAGTGATATACAAAGGCAGTAATTGGCAGTTTGTTTTAATTTTTCTGTTGCATGAAACTCGTTAGCTGTCTAGTTCACAAGTCCCAGTACTTGCTGATCCTTCTCTATTTCAACATTATATTAGCGCTTATGGGACTGTCCCGTGTGCAATGATGTTGATTCTTAATTCAACATTCTCTATTTCAACATTATATTAGCCCTTACGGGATTTTCCAGAGTGCAGAGATGTCAATTCTTAATTCAACATTCAAAATTCTCCATTTCAAACAGGCAGTACATTAACTGTTCATATCTGAATTTTCTCTATAGTTTCTTCTGCCCATAGAGATGTCAAATGACCAGGCTGACCCAGCCTTAAACTGGTACCAGGTAAAGTCACATCACCCACTTAGTCTATAAAATATAGGTCTAGCGCTATATGCCCAATATAACTGAAGGCGTTTAAGTGTCCTTTACTTTGCTTTTAAAGAGCTATATTATTTCAAGGTAAGTGGAATTACACTCTGGCTAGATGATGGTTTAATTGCCTAGTTTACAGCTGACACAGGTGTGTATTTCATTACCCTTGTTATTTAGCATAACCATTGACTAGATAATGAGATGTGTAGGAAATACCAGCTTTGACTGGGCAGAGAACACACCATTAGAACATCTCAAGTTTGCCGATGGTATTGTTGTATCGTAGCAAAATCAATCTTCACTTATGCTTCATTGACTATACGAAAGAATTTGATTGTGTGAAACATGAAATAATCAAACTATTGGAAAATTTAAACATTGATGGAACAGATTTACAAATTATAATGAACAAGTATTGGCAGCAGAAAGCAGCTATAAGAATTAATAAATATTTAGGACCATTTCATAGTTTAAAGAGGGGAGTAAGACAAGGATGTGTATCATCACCTGATTGGTTTTCATTATGCAGTGAATATATAATGAGATCTATCATGGATATGCTAGGAATTGTGGTTAGGGGTCATACTGTAAACAACCTGCGTTTCTGAAGACACCAATTTGATAGCGACAAGTCAGAAAGAACTACAGAAATTAATAGATACGTTGGTGGTAGAAAGTGATAGAATTGGCCTCAGTTTGAAAAATATAAAGACAATTAATAGAGCAAGAAAAGAATAGTGTTTACATGTGTAATAAAAGTCAAGGGCATTATTTTAGGACAAGTACAGAATTTTAAGTATCTAGGCACATGAATAACATCAGATGGAAGATGTATCACAGAGATAAAGAACAGAATACGACAGTCCAAATGTGCATTTTATAAAATGAAGAATATTTTGTGCAATACATCATTAGAGGTAAGGAAAAGAATTCTTGCATGCTATTTAGAGCCATTTGTAACATATGACTGTGAATCCTGGACAATTATTAAAATGATGATAATGATTGTTGTATTAAGAAAGAACAACATCACATGCAAAGAAAAACAGATGATTTAGCAAATTAAGCGTTGAAAGTTCTGGTACTAATAAGATTGCACAGGACAGAATACAATGCATGGAAAGACTTTGAGCCAATTATGACAGACAAATGACACTCGATGAGATGATGAAATAATGTTTTTAAAATAGTATATTAAAATACTGGACACAACTTACGCTGGTTTAAAAATTGACACTCTTTCTAAATTCATCTTCGACAGGCCGTCTTCTGCCTCCCCCTGCAAGAAAAAAAGAAAACAGCAATTTAGAATTTTTTTCACATCTCAGTCATGAGCTAAAAGCAATGGCACAAACTAAAACAGTTATTTATTCACAAGTTTAGCTGAAAAATAGCGTAATCTGCCACAAACATGCCACCAAATGGGGGTATCTGCTACAAACAGCATCACATGGGAAGCATCTGCTACAAACAGCATCACATGGGAGGTATCTGCTACAAACAGCATCACATGGGAGCTTCTGCTACAAACAGCATCACATGGAGCCTCTGCTACAAACAGCATCACATGGAGCCTCTGCTACAAACAGCATCACATGGGAAGCATCTGCTACAAACAGCATCACATGGGAGGTATCTGCTACAAACAACATCACATGGGAGCTTCTGCTACAAACAGCATCACATGGGAGCTTCTGCTACAAACAGCATCACATGGGAGGTATCTGCTACAAACAGCATCACATGGGAGCTTCTGCTACAAACAGCATCACATGGAGCCTCTGCTACAAACAGCATCACATGTGAAGCATCTGCTACAAACAGCATCACATGTGAAGCATCTGCTACAAACAGCATCACATGGGAGGTATCTGCTACAAACAGCATCACATGGGAGCTTCTGCTACAAACAGCATCACATGGAGCCTCTGCTACAAACAGCATCACATGGAGCCTCTGCTACAAACAGCATCACATGGGAAGCATCTGCTACAAACAGCATCACATAGGAGGTATCTGCTACAAACAGCATCACATGGGAGCTTCTGCTACAAACAGCATCACATGGAGCCTCTGCTACAAACAGCATCACATGGGAAGCATCTGCTACAAACAGCATCACGTGGAGCCTCTGCTACAAACAGCATCACATGGAGCCTCTGCTACAAACAGCATCACATGGAGCCTCTGCTACAAACAGCATCACATGGGAAGCATCTGCTACAAACAGCATCACATGGGAAGCATCTGCTACAAACAGCATCACATGGGAGCATCTGCTTCAAACAGCATCACATGGGGGTATCTGCTACAAACATAGCAACACATGGGAGCATCTGGTACAAACAGCATCACATCTAAGGTATCTGCTTTAATCTCCTACAAACATAGCATCACAGGGTTATCTGACACAAACATAGCATCACAGGGTTATCTGACACAAACATAGCATCACAGGGTTATCTGACACAAACATAGCATCACATGGGAGCATCTGGTACAAACAGCATCACATCTAAGGTATCTGCTTCAATCTCCTACAAACATAGCATCACAGGGTTATCTGACACAAACATAGCATCACATGGCGGTATCTGCTACAAGCAGAGCTTCAGCTCTTAATTCAACATTTAGATTTTAAGTGTACTTTCCAAAATGTATAGTAGTATACTATGTTGTGAATCTTTGTGAATATTTAAGTAATCTGGGCATAATTCTTCTGTAACATACACAGCGGTGTTATGGTTTCATAAATAAATGATGTGAATAATCTGGACAGATAAACAAAGTGTAATGAAGATGTCGTGAAAGACGCCGACTCATGAAAATGACTAATTGCCCACAACAAAAAGAGACAGTCTACATTCTGTGATCTTGTTATGAGAAGGAGAAAAGGACATTGTGATTGTGGGAAAGTGTGAGAGAAAAGAGGCAGAGGGGAGACCAAAAGAGAAGATGCTGGACAGTATAAAATCCTGGCATGGAAGATTATCTCTGATAGAAGTAACTGAAAATAAAACCAGATAGAAGGTTTTTGATAAACATGACTACCTCTGCCACATGGCATGATTTTGAGAAGAATAGATTATAAAATTAGAGATTATATGTTTAAAGTATGATGGATTGTTAATATAGTGTTACTTTTCAAATCATTGGGATATTCAAACATTTTGGCACAGATGTAGTGTTATGTTATTACAGCCAACATCATAGCAGATTTGACTTTCTCGTGCGTGCTTATTTCTCTGGTGCTGTAACTAGCCCACAATCTTGAACTCATAGGATATTGTGAAATATTTATGTCATAATAAAAGACATAATACTCTTAGAAAAACAATACTTGAGGGAAAAGTTGAAGTCAGGCAAGCAAGTAGCAGACAGCAATTCAAGTGGGAGTCAATGATTCAGAGGGTATGTAAACAATAGGAGATGGACTAATAACAGTCTGAGAGAATGTACATCCAGGACAGAAAATGTTTGAGATTCACGTAAAACAACCTTCATTGTGGCGATGGCAGCTGACTGAGTGATCTTGACCACAAAGATTGTATAGACAAGCTTGGCCAGGTTTTAGTCCAAGATAACATCATCAAGTTAATAGCAAAAACTTGGCATTATTCAATAGCCCTGTATGTACAAATATGCTCAACAAACTTTGTCATATTTCTTCCTGTTTGTGTTAGCACATTACTGTCCAGCTAGGTTGGTTTTATAGTCAAATAAAAGAGAGCAGATATACTGGCTAGCACTGTCAAATCCAGCCCATGGATTGCGCCGGCAGTGTCAGTGCCATTAGAGAAAGAGGAGAATCAGAGAATTGTGCTGAAAGTGCATCCACATCACATCTAAGAATGTGTCTGTATGCCATTAGAGACAGAGGAGAATAAGAGAATTGTGCTGAAAGTGCATCCACATCACATCTAAGAATGTGTCTGTATGCCATTAGAGAAAGAGGAGAATCAGAGAATTGTGCTGAAAGTGCATCCACATCACATCTAAGAATGTGTCTGTATGCCATTAGAGACAGAGGAGAATCAGAGAATTGTGCTGCAAGTGCATCCACATCACATCTAAGAATGTGTCTGTATGCCATTAGAGACAGAGGAGAATCAGAGAATTGTGCTGAAAGTGCATCCACATCACATCTAAGAATGTGTCTGTATGCCATTAGAGAAAGAGGAGAATCAGAGAATTGTGCTGAAAGTGCATCCACATCACATCTAAGAATGTGTCTGTATGCCATTAGAGACAGAGGAGAATCAGATAATTGTGCTGCAAGTGCATCCACATCACATCTAAGAATGTGTCTGTATGCCATTAGAGACAGAGGAGAATCAGAGAATTGTGCTGAAAGTGCATCCACATCACATCTAAGAATGTGTCTGTATGCCATTAGAGACAGAGGAGAATCAGAGAATTGTGCTGGAAGTGCATCCACATCACATCTAAGAATGTGTGTGTATGCCATTAGAGACAGAGGAGAATCAGAGAATTGTGCTGGAAGTGCATCCACATCACATCTAAGAATGTGTCTGTAAGCCATTAGAGACAGAGGAGAATCAGAGAATTGTGCTGGAAGTGCATTCACATCACATCTAAGAATTTGAGAAGTTGGAGTGAAGATTGGCATAGCCAGGCATGAGAGCACACCAGATGTACAAGAAATCTTGAAAACCAACTTAGAACTGGCACTATTTGGCAGTAGATGCTGTTTGAATGTTGACTCAGGCCACATTGACACCTCATGAATTCATCGGTCAATGAGCCTGTCCTAGATCAACACAGAATCGACATATGACAATATATATGTTGAGAACGGAATCTGGGCACTACCTCAAATGGTGACATTAAGGGATAAAATCTATTGTTTGTTTATGGTGACCATAAGGGATACAATCAATCTACACATTAATGTTCTGGGATATTTAATATTGCTTCAGGTTAGGGTTAGGGTTTTGGTTAGGGTTAGGGTAAGCCCTATGTCTAATCCTAACACTAACTGTGATTTCAAACAATATTAAATATTAAAAACATTATTATGTGAACTTACACAAATAATAGATTACATTCCCATAGGGTCCGAAATTTAACTGCTTCTACGTTCCAATAGACTGCATCCCTTATTACACCCTACTCATCCCCTTGTGGGATGCAATTTTTCGTTATTTTGAAGCTCTACCCAATATAGCCCAGCCATTAATATGGCCTAATTGCTGAACTCGGTTTCTGGGATCCTCATCCACATGGTGGCACTTTGTGTCATCGGGTGTTTATCGCTTGTGTGATGTCCTGGTGGGGTGAAAGTACAATACAACAACAACATCCCTTAGGATACTGCTTGAAGTAATGGCGGAATCTGAGCACCTATGGACATGTCCAGAATGCACTGAGGATAACCCAAATCTTAACATACCTCTCCATGTGGGTTTCATGGCCTCCATGTAAGGGAAAAGGAAACAGACCCACTGCCCGCCCTAAAGCATGTCGTAATAGTTAACTAACTAGGGGTGCTTCCTTCAAAGAGGGGGAAAAAATCTGCAAACAGACAAGCCAAACTTGTAAAAATTTATATTCACGCAAAATTAAAGTTCTAAAATAAGATTAAAGTTCAATAGTGGACAAACAACCAGAACTTTCCTCTGTAATTTACAGAAGATGAGCCCAAAGAAGAAGAAAATAACTTGCCAGTTGGTCAGCTCATCTGGCAAAGAAAATTTTTTTTTTCTTCAATATCATAGTTATAAAGTTAAGGATTGTTTTCAGTGCCTACATTGGGCAGGTTACGCATGTCTCATAGTTTTACAGACCAAGCAATATTTTACCTTTATTTTAGTGTATGAGAAGAAGCTGTCTTTGTTACCACCCATGGTTGACACAAGAGAGTAATGTTTGCACCCTTGTTCTTTAGCTACTTGTGCAGTCATCAAAACATAATCACGATCCGTACGGATGAATGCTTGCTGTGGAAATATGGAAGAAAGTCTGTTATAAAACCAAATCTGTTCTCAAAGTGAACAATAAGTAATCGATTATGGGAAGAAAACAAAACTGTTTTTAATGTCTGTATTTACCACCTGTATTTACTGTCTGTATTTACTGCCTGTATTTACTGCCTGTATTCATTGTCCATATTTACTGTCTGTATATAATGTATGTCTGTATTTACTGTCTGTATTTACTGTCTGTATTTACTGTCTGTATTTACTGTCTGTATTTACTGCCTGTATTTACTGTCTGTATTTATTGTCCATATTTACTGTCTGTATATAATGTATGTCTGTATTTACTGTCTGTATTTACTGTCTGTATTTACTGTCTGTATTTATTGTCCATATTTACTGTCTGTATAAAATGAATGTCTGTATTTATTGTCTACATTTACTGTCTGTATTTATTGTCTACATTTACTGTCTGTATTTATTGTCTACATTTACTGTCTGTATTTATTGTCTACATTTACTGTCTGTATTTGTCTACATTTACTGTCTGTATTTGTCTACATTTACTGTCTGTATTTACTGTCTACATTTACTGTCTGTATTTATTGTCTACATTTACTGTCTGTATTTATTGTCTACATTTACTGTCTGTATTTATTGTTTACATTTACTGTCTGTATTTATTGTCTACATTTACTGTCTGTATTTATTGTTTACATTTACTGTCTGTATTTATTGTCTACATTTACTGTCTGTATTTACTGGACTCGGCAAGAACAAACTGATTCTGTAATAGTTTTAAACTTGAGAAATCTGTCTACTAACCAGAGAGACACATAAATGACACATGACACCAAAAACTTACTAGACCATCTCTGGCTCTGTAAGTGCCTAGACAACAAAATCCAGTATCCAGATCTTTAAAGACATCTTTGTGTTCATCTAGCTTTTCAAAATCCATAACCTTTTGCTCCTGAAGAAATAAAATGTAATTTTTACAAACTCCTGGCTAGAAAACTGAAATATAATCAAACAAGTAATCTTCATTCTTCAACAAATAACAAAAAATTCTTCTTTTACCATGTTTGTTTTTAAAAAGTGATTGTAGTTTTGTTTACAGCTAGTAGTGCATTCTGATCTCTTCCTAGAACAAGTCCATGTGCCTCCTATCCTGGTATCATATGTAGTCTGTATATTATATCTTATATGTATGAGAGATAATTGCTAGTATATTCTCATCTTATCTTAGATCTAGTCCAATGTGTCTCATATTCTGGAAACATGTGTAATTTATGTACTGTGTTTTATGTGTATGAGATAATTGGTAGTACATTCTGATCTCCTCCTGTATCAAGTCCCATATGTTTCATGTGTGGGTGTAATGTGTAGTCTGTATTTATTGTCTATATTTTGTGTGTATGAGAGATATTTGTTAATACATTCTGATCTAATCCTAGATCAAGTTCCGTATAGCTCATATTTTGGTATCATGTGTAGTCTGTATATTGCATCTTATGTGTATGAGAGATAAATAGTAATACATTCTGATCTTATTCTATATCAAGTCCTATGTGTCTGATATTTTGATATCATATGCAGTCTGTGGGAGTCACCGTGGCGTAGCAGCTAGACGCTTGCAGGGGATAGGAAGGCCATGGGTTCGCTCTCTGGCGAAGCCGGACTTTTATAAAAAATGACCTTGGCTCCCATAATTTATTGCTGGTCCATTCTTATTTCATGCTAGATAAGGGTATGTATGGGCAGGGATAGAGGTCTATTCCATGAAGAGCATATAATTTAAAGCAACAAAAATAATGACTGGATAACCATGGCTACTAACAGTTATAAGACTTGAAAGATGACAATAAACTGGGCAAATCCTGGGGAGAAATCGTCAGAATCAGCAGACACAAGGAAAGGGGAAAACAAATAGATTGAGGGAATGAGAATGTCCAAGAGATGTCCAACAGGAACACAGATTCATATTGTTTATTCTTCCCCTCTATTTTCCTGAGCCTTCTTTTGTTGAACTGGACTTTTTTCAAAAATGACCTTGGCTCTCAGGTCGACCCAGCCTTGAGTAGGTACTAGGTACAGTCCTGGGAAATAAAGGTGGCCGGTGGGATGCTGACCACATCTCCCATCTTGTGCCGATTGGTCTAAAAAAATATAGGTCCAGCCCTATATGCCCTATACTCTTTGAGGCGTGGAAAAGAGTCATTTACTTTATTTCTTACTAGTTTTGTTTTCCAATGTAGCACTTCGTGTCCACACCACCGCCCCCCCCCCCCCCCCCCCCCCCCATTACATATTTTTTGGTTTCATGTTAATCATGGCTTGTTTAGAAGCTATGTTGTCTTGTCAGTTTAGTTTTTTCCAGTCACGGTTCATGTTGCATTTAATACTCTGTTAATAAGGACTTGGTCAAAACATTCCCTCCGTTGAATGACAAAGGCCAAAGTTGTTGGACAGGGGCCAAAGTTGCTGGACATGATTCCATCAATGATGTTGACAAATCTCACACAGGACAGAAGGAAACAGAAGAGACTACTAGCCCTTTGCGATGTACACAGGATGATGGTGATAATTATGATGATGATACAATGATGAAAATGTTGATGATGATGATGATGAAAATTATGATGGTGATGGTTAACAACAAGGGGGATAAACACCTTTATTAATACAAACTGGTAGATTAAAGAATCTTACAAATTCTGGTCCAACATCAAGTGATACATTTCTGCGGCCGATAAGGACCACCTTTTTGAAGACTTTTGCTTTATTCAGTTCCTGAACCAGAGCTTTGCCTACAGCTCCTGTGTAACCAATAACAAAGGCAGAACGACCTAAACTCCTGAAGTGCTCCATAGTTTCTTGGCTTTCCTTTGACATATTCCTGAAAATGATAATGTTTACAATTACTTACTACAGACCTACTAACTTGGTCGCTCCTCTTCTACCTTAGGGTGTAGAGGTTTGCCAGAGAGATCGCCAGACGTCTCTATCAGCAGTTTTCTTCCTGTCTTTGTTCCATTCCAGTCCTCTGTCAGTTAGGGACTGTCGGATGTTGTCTTCCCAGCGGACCCTAGGTGGCCCTGGAGGTCTGGTCCTCTGGTTTTTAGCCTTCCATGCCTGCCATGGTGGCCGATTCTTTTCCATTCTGCATACATGTCCAAACCATCGTAACTGTGACTTATCCACTCAGGTTTTAACTACAGACACAATCAATTATTCTAATGGAAGAAGAAAAACTGGTATTTCGTAGGCAGGTAGGTGTTTCGCTGGGTGAAAAAAATCGTCACATTAAAACAGCATCCCCGAAGGTGAAGCTTTAGGTTATAATTGTGACTAGGTTATAATTGTGACTAGGTTATGTGCGCATATAAAGTGGATTAGCACTGCACGCCACCAAGAGCGCTGAAAAGGACTCCTCCTTCAGTGGTGATGCCATCAAATGAAACAGACAAAAATACTGTCCCGATCGAAGACGAAATCGTTTACCGGCGAGCCAATGGGCGATCCGGTCGCCGATGATGACTGATATGTTATTGCTTCCTCCTTTTATAAAATCCGTTCAGTTTTTAAGATTGTGTGTTACCATGAGAAAAAGTGCAAAGTGACAACAAGCAACAAACTAACGGGCCTCACTAAGTGAACAATGCAGAAGCGTCAACGCATCATTATGGTGTGCATAGATTGTGCAGCAGAGAGTGTCCATGGGGCCTAACTCAGACATGACACTCAGAATAAAGCCAAGACAGTCATATCATCAAACTGCTAAACATCACCATCAGTATGTGCTGTTAGTAGGGCTCGCATTCATTTCCTCGGCTCTACTGAATGCAACTCTCTCGATTTCTGACATGGAGTTTGGTCCAGCATTTTTAGCCTCTCGTAATAATGTCCATCTGTTTCCCTAGGGCGTCCTCTTTTTCTCACATCATTTGTTTCCCATTTCAGTGCAAGTTTTGTCATCCCTTGCTCATTTCGTCTTAGACTATGACCAATATATCTCCACCTTCGTTGTCTTATTGCAGTCGATACAGGTATCTGTCTACAGTCTACACATTTATCTGCTCTCCTCACTCCTTTTTTTTTTTAATTCATCGTATTTTAAATTCATGATTTTTCTCAAACATTCATTTTCGAATGCATCCAACTTTCGTTCAATATCTGTGATGGATAATAGGCAGGTAGGTAAGGTAAGTTGTACCTCACCAGGACATCACACTAGGGATAAACACCCGGTGACACAAAGTGCCACAATGAGGATGAGGATCACGCGTGGAGAGATCCCAGAAACCCCGCTCAGCCGTTAGTCCATATTTAAGGCCCGGTTATATTAAGGGCCCCCGACTAAAGCCAGGGCGGGGCTTCAAAATAACTAAAAATTGCATCCCACATGAGGACGACAGATAGTGTGCATGGGTAATAGGCGTATAAGAATCTTTCTTTAAGTTGCGTAACTTTAACAGGACGTAGTAGAACCAACCCAAGCATTTTTTTTTTTTTTTGTGGCTGTTGTGGTTTTTTAGGCAATTAAGTAGTTTGCCATTGCTTCTGATCGGTCAGCTTCTGGAACCACTGTCGAAACAAGCTCAAGACAAACCGTCCGCAACTGGGATCGAACCCGGCACCCCGGCATTACGAGGCGGGTTCGCAGCGCCTAAGCCACATACGCCGAATAGGGCAATGATTTAAAAAAGCAGCTTGTAAAAGGGAGACAACGTTGAGAGAGCGGGTTTGCAAGAGAGAAAAAAAACTGCGAAATTATGTTTGTAAGAGAAAGCAAATGTAAGGAAAATGAAATAGACTTTTAAGAGAATGAACACACTGGGAAAGTAGGTTTGAAAGGAGAAGGAAAAGTTATCAAAGTAATTTTGTAAGAGGATGAATATTTTAGGAAAGGTGGGCTTTTAAGAGGATGAAAATTTTAGGAAAGGTGGGCTTTTGAGAGGAAGAAATTTTTTTGGAAGAGTGGGTTTTTAAGAGGAAGAAAGGGTAAGGAAAGATGGGCTTTTAAGAGGAATAAAATGTAAGGAAATTTGGGTTTTTAAGAGGAATAAAATGTTAGGAAAGTAGACTGTAAAAGGAAGAAAATGATAGGAGAGTGGGCTTTTAAAAAGGTGAAGAAAGCATTTGTAGTGTAAGTTTGTATAAATGGGGGGGGGGGGGGGGGGTTTGGAAGAGTTGGCTTTTGAAAGAAAGATTACGACAGGGGGTTATTTAATAGCAAGAAAACGTTAGGAAACTGAGCTTCTAAGACGGTAATAACTTTAGGAAAGAACACTTGTAAGAGAAAGAAAATGATGGGAAAGTGGGGTTGACAGTTTAAAAAAAAAATTACATATAGGCGATCATTGTCACGATACGGAACTGGATTAAACCTGTTTGCATGCACCGTGAAGACACAGTACAGAGACTGTTTGAGGTGCAAAACAGTCGGCACTTGATTATGTTGATGACTAAAAAAGTTATTTAAAATTAGAAAGGAATGTGTCCCGGCATAGAACTGCTAGTGTAATCATTACGAGTGCCATAATTATAACTTCTTTAGAGGTTATCATGAGAAGAATAAGGTGCAAAATGAAACCAAAAATTGGAGAAGAACAGTGTGGTTTTGTTGAAGGTAAAGGCGCACGCAACGACATATTTATCTTGAGAACACTTTCAGAAAGAACGATTGAAATGAACCGATTTATATTTGTGCTTTTTTTTTTTTTTTTTTTTTTGTTACGCTAAAGCATGTGATGAAGTGAAACGTGAAGAATTATTAGAATTTTTGAAACTTTAAACATTGATGGTAGAGATCTGAGAATAATAATAATAATAATAATAATAATAATAATAATAATAATAATAATAATAATAATAAATTAAACACAGCGTTAGACAGGGATGTGTACTATCACCCGATTTATTCAATTTGCACAGTGAAATAATACATGGTATACCAGGAATAGCGGTTGGTGGGCATACCGTTAACAATCTGCGATATGTTGACGATATAGTTTTGATCGCTGAAAATGAAACACAAGTGCAATAAATTGTGGATATAATTGTAAAGTGGAAACAAGGGTCTTGGTTTAAACAGCAGAAAAACAGAAGCAATGGTAATTACAAAGAAAACTGACCCTCTGAAATGCAACCTCAAAGTAAATGGGACAAAGCTCAAGCAAGTTGATATGTTTAAGTACTTGGGTACTCTGACAACATCAGATGGAAGATGTATTAAAGATGTTAGATGTCGAATAGCTCAAGCAAAGGCAGTATTTTACAAAATGAAGAATATTTTATGCAATCTTTCTTTATCACTTGAGACGAGACAGAGAATTCTTAAAAGCTATATAAATCCTATATTGATATAAGGGTGTGAAACACGGACAGTTAGTAAATTAGTAAAAACATATTTGTAAGCTGCGGAGATGTGGTTTTATAAACGAATGATGAGAATACCCTGGACAGATAAAAAGAGTAATGAAGATGTCTTGAAAGAAACTGACTCACGAAGAGAACAGATTGCCCACATCAGAAAGAGACAATCTACATTCTGTAGTCATGTGATGAGAAGCAGAAAACTGGAGTACATCGTGACAGTAGGGAAATTGGAGGAGAGAAGAGGCAGAGGGAGACTAAGAGAACAGATGCTGGACATTCTGACATCATGGCATGGGAGATTATCAGTGAGAGTTGACTGAAAGTACACGAGACAGAAGGTTGTGGATAGACATGACTACCAACGCCACACGGCATGGACTCTAAGAAGAAGAGGTTGAACAGCGTATCGTATCTGCCTTTTTGGCCTGCCATCCGGACTGAGACTTTTGAATATCAGATTGTGGATTGCAGCCATGAGGTGACAAATCGATGGAGCTTGCCAGGACCACTGGAACCCTAGGCCATTTTAGGCTTTCTATCAAATGTATAAAAGGTGGGCAGGTCAGGGGCTTCAGGTCTACATTTTCCCTCGCTTTAGTTGTAATTTTCACATATAATCCGTTCAGCCCTTAGACCAATTTATAGAGGTTATTATTTTGAGGTGTTTATCAAGAGATATTACTACAAATAAATTATTATATGTTTTTACCATTCAGCTGATATCCCTTTTATGTTTTGTCAAGGAAAGACACCAAACAACGACAGTAAAATGTTGCCTGGCGAGTGTTTTAGTGTAAACAAACTGTGTGTGTTTATCTTTAGGGGCTTCGGTCTAGTTTCCCATATTCTCTTCAGTTTGTTAAAATTACTAGGTTACTAGACCCTGACTGGTCTGGGCTTTGTGTTACTTCGTAACTGTCTGAGGCCCCAATATAGTTCAATATAACCTGTAGGAAATCTGAATTCAAAGAAAACCATTAACTGGCTATATGACTGGCACCTTTCCGTTCTTCCAAACAATAGTGTTATGTTGCGCTATGAGGCGGTATGTGACTAGGCGAGTGTGACTAGCAAGACCCGCCCACGTTAAGAAAAGTCTTCCATAATTATAACACAAAGCCTAGGCAATATTGTAGAGACCATATGTGGCTCTTGCATCATGGTCCATCTTTTGGCCTGCCGTGTTTACTCCAGAAGAAAGGTAACAACAGTACGTTTGGAACAAAGCAGGCTGCAAAAGCTGCTGGATCAGAAGAGCAAGTACAGTACTCTATCTGTCCGCCTCTATTTTTCCTCCAAAACCAGCTGCCAGCCAAGGCTAAGGACCTGGTCTATCCTGCCATAACATAAAGTTTTCAAGCTGCTTTTCCTCTTTCTAGGATAAGGCTAGTATCCTACACAATGCGCTCCTCCGCCTAAAGCCGTTAGCACAACATGGGATGTCAGGTTTGGTAAACGCCGCCCAACATTCGGCGTAACAGAAGACAGGTAGTACCGGCTACTGT